TTTTATTTTTTTTATTTATTTTTAATTTTTATTTTTTTAAAGATTTTATTTATTTATTTGACAGAGAGAGACACAGCGAGAGAGGGAACACAAGCGGGGGGAGTGGGAGAGGGAGAAGCAGGCTTCCCGCGGAGAAGGGAGCCTGACGTGGGATTCGATCCCAGGACCCTGGGATCATGACCTGAGCCGAAGGCAGATGCTTAACGACTGAGCCACCCAGGCGCCCCTGTTTGGTCGTTTTTTTAGAGAGAGAGAGACGCACAGGCAAGAGCAAGCAGCCTTGGCGGGGGAGGGGCAGAGGGAGAGGGAAAGCGAGAATCCCAAGCAGGCTCCATACCCAGGGCAGAGCCTAAAACAGGCTCCATCTCAAAGACCCTGAGATCATGACCTCAGCCAAAATCAAGAGTTGGGTGCTTAACCAACTGAACCACCCAGGCGCCCCCAGACTGGTTTTTAAAAACAGCAGCAACACTTAAAAGGGAATGTTTTTCTTCACAGTGGAATACTTTGGGGGTCCCTGGGTGGCTCAGTAGGTGTGGAGCTTACTTAAAAAAAAAAAAAAAAGGAATACTTTGTTCAGATCGAGACTAGGTACCTGATAAAACAATATTGCTTATGATGCTGGATTAAATTTTTATTTTAATAAATTTAGTTTTGTCCATCACTCCTCCAAGAAGCCCTAAGGCTTAAACCCTACTTTTTAAGACTTAACTGTATAAACATTTTTTGTAGATTGGCATAAACCCAGGACTAATGGCAGCTTACAAAGGACATCATTACCCTGGACCTGGAAACCATTTTTGTAAGTAATTACTTTTTTTTTATTATTATTTTACTTTTAAACTAGGAATCTTTATTAATAGTTTGGGGGTTTTTTTTAAACCAAATTGTGTTTTTTAAAAGAGAGATTGTTTGTAAAAATACCTACCTTTTTTCTGTGCATGTGTACACAAAAATAAAAGTTTCGGAACTTTTTGGTGTTTTCTGTTCACACTTTGGTGTAAGAGAGTGGAGGGGCAAGAAAAGCAGTACTTCCTCCTTTGTTTTGCTAATAGTTTTATAGGAGTTTTACTGTATTTTTTAATGAATTTTCTCTTTTACTTGCTATCTGCGGTGATAGTAACAATAGTATCTCAGTGTGCCCATGCCGACAGGATACTGACCTTTCCAGATTTCTGCTGATCTATTTCCCGGGAGAGAGGAAGTGCATTGATCATTGGCGATCAAGTTGTAATAGTTAAGAAATTTTGTGATTGGAGACATTCTCTACAGATACTTCATATCTAGCAGAAAATAGTATTAAAGAGCCTCATACTTGTAGAGTGAGCTTCAAAACCAAGTATAACTACTGTTGTATTATCTTCTGTGTAAGTCCACTTACCTAACACCGCCCAATAAAAAAGGGCATGCAGTAGGCCCTCAGGAAATACTAATCCATTATCTACGTAACATTAAAAACATTTAGGGCAAAAAATACAGTAATGTGTTTTTGGAACTAAGGACATATTTTTTAAAAATTTCTAGAAAAGTTTGAACTTTTCATTTCTTCCACTGTCAGCATGTTTGAATGTTACGGGCCTCTTGGTGTATGTTTATCTGTTCAAGTTATTCCAGGGGCAGGTGGTGGTGTTACCAGTTATTAGAAAGGAAAACAAACAGTTTCGAAGTTTCCTACACTGACTAGCTGTGTATTTCCAACAGCCATTTACCTAAACTGCCCTGTGAAAAAGAGATAAAAATAATAATTAATATTTCATAAGATAGTTATGATCATTAAATGAGATAATCCATGCAGAGGGCTTCACACATAGTAATTGCTTGATACGGTATTTACCCATAATTTTTTAAATATCGTAAATCTTTTTTTTTTTGTACTTTCAGGATAAAATGTAGACTACCATATCGATTCATGGGGCAAAAACCTTTGATCTATATGGAAATAAACTGAACTCTCATTTTCACAGGGAAGTGTCTGTTTATGTCAGGCCTGAGTGAGGTCCAGCTGAGCCATATGGATGATCACACTTTACCAGGGAAGTATGGTATTGGATTTACCAATATGGTGGAAAGGACAACACCAGGCAGCAAAGATCTTTCCAGGTAATTACATTTATTTTTATAGGTTGGAACCTGTTCGTGCAGATGCCTTATATACCCTTGGAATACTATATGTACCTAGTTCAAGCTGAGCTTAACAAATACATGAATCGATCTTTTACTCACAGCTATCTGAATTTAGCATATTATAAATATTGCCATACTTATATTTTGACTACTTTTTAATTCAATTTTAGTAAAGAATTTCGTGAAGGAGGACGTATTCTAGTGCAGAAATTACAGAAATATCAGCCACGAATAGCAGTGTTTAATGGAAAATGTAAGATTTACTTTTAAATTTTATCGTTTTTCTTTGCTAACATTATGGGCAATGTAAATATGTTTGTATTTCATTTTAGGTATTTATGAAATTTTTAGTAAAGAAGTTTTTGGAGTTAAGGTTAAAAACTTAGAATTTGGACTTCAACCCCATAAGATCCCAGACACAGAAACTGTAAGTCCTTAAAATTACATTTGTAAATCAGCTAAATATGAATTTTTTTCTAGCTAGCTTCCCTTTTTTATTTGTCCTATCCATTGTAATTGATGCCATGAAAAAAAACACTGGATTTTGTTGAGTAATAGTTATATATCAACTCAAACTAGTAGTTGCAAATTAATTCATGTACTGTTATTTAAAAAAAAAAAAGAAACATTTGTCAGATAAAATGTCTTACTGATGTTATTTGGCTAAAATATTGAAAGGAGCTAGCTAGCATACACTCAGAATCTATTTAATGGCATATTCTTACCAAATTCAAGTAGATTAGCCCTTATTCAGTATGAAACAAATATGTAAATATGGACATGCTCCCGATTAGTAAAACTGCTCATCACCCTCCTGCTTGTATATCTTAGCCCAGTTTCATTTTAGAGCCGTATAAATAGTATACAGCTCAGTTGCAGACAGACGTCCGGCCAGTCTGACTGGCATGTGATACTATTTACTATGGCCTGTACATGAGGCATCATGAAGTAACAGTGGTTTTCAAACTCTGTCATTTCTACAGAGCTTCTGCAGACATGTGGTTGAAATTTTGCTTCTTAAATATAGTTTTAAGTTTTGTTTACAACTTTTTAAAAAACAACATACATGCATAGACCCATGTGTTCTAGACAGTACTTTAAATGATGGAGAAGCCAGTGTGCCACCAGGTTTTTATGGAGACCTCAGAATAAAGTTTCTGCCACTTACATTTGAACTTCTCCTTTAAATTTCTTCTGTTTTTAACTTGTTTTAAATATGTGATTGATAAAGTAGGTGAAAGCCCTGGTCTTTCTTTAAACCGAGGCCTACACTTGTCTACTTTGGTAAAATTGTATAGCGGAGTTCATGGCTTTCTATAAATTCCTGCATTATTGTCCCTTAAGAGCCAGATGAGGCTCAGGTACATCTCTTGGATATATGTGGCCGTAATAGTGCAATACTAAGTGAACTTGAATCATCACGACAGGAGGTTTTACCTCTTATAATGAGCTGGGAGTACTTGTATCTTTTAAAATTTATTCTTTGTTGTGAAATACAGTTATTGATGATGTTAGTGATTCAGCTCTGAAGCAAGAAACTACTTTTTTGGGACACCTGGGTGGCTCAGTCGGTTAAGCATCTGCCTTCGGCTCAGGTTATGATCCCAGGGTCCTGGGATCGAGTCCCACATCGGGCTCCTTGCTCAGCAGGGAGCCTGCTTCTCCCTCTCCCTTTGCCCCTCCCCCTGCTTGTGCTCGCTCGCTCTCTCTCTGACAAATAAAAAAAAAACTACTTTTTCAAATTTCTGGATCTTTTTTTTTTTTTTAAGATTTTATTTACTTGAGAGAGAGAGCGCACATGAGCAGGAGCAAGGGAGGGGAAGTAGAAGCAGGCTCCCCTCTGAGCAGGGAGCCCAACTCGGACTTTGATCCTGGGACTCCAGGATCATGACTGGAGCTTAAGCAGACGTTTAACCAACTGAGCCACCCAGGCGCCCCTCTGGATCATTTTATTTTATTTTATTTATTTTTGAAAAGATTTTATTTATTTCAGAGACGGGGGAGAGAGAGATAATGAGAGAGCACACAGGCATGAGCAGGGGGAGGGGCAGAGGGAGAAGCAGACTCCCCGCTGAGCAGAGAGCCTGATACAGGACTGTATCCCAGGACCCTGAGATCATGACCTGAGCCGAAGGCAGATGCTTAACCGACTGAGCCACCCAGGCGCCCCCCTCTGGATCATTTTAATTGAAGAATATCTTGGGATGGGAAAATGTGCTATTACAAAACCTGGTAGCATTTGCACCTACACATCTTTGAGTCAGGAGTTTCTAAATGCCTTCTAAACAAAACTAAATAATTTGTTTCTGTAATGTTATGGAGGTCAATATAGAAATTGCAACTGGAAATTCCATAGTCTAGCAGCTTCACTCTTTGATATATATGTGATATATATTATATGTTGTATTCTATGAAGGACAGTTTGTTGTCAGTATCCCAAATGATAAATGCAAATGTCTTTCTCCTTAGTCCTTCCAATTCTAGGAATTTATCCAGCAGATATGCTCACACATACTCAAAATCAAATTTGTACAAGGTTTTTCACTACAGCTTATAATAAAAAAAAGACTGGAAATGACCTAAATGCCCACAGCTGGGCCTTGGTTAAATAAATATACAAGTACTACACAGCTATAAAAAAAGAACGTCTTTTTACTCTAATATAGCCCTCTGGTACAGAATTATCTCTGAATATGCTGTCGAGTCAAAAAGCAAGATATAGAATAGGGAATAGAGAGCATGTTACCATTCGTGTGTTTTTTAAAAAGGGTGCAGGAGGGCGCCTGGGTAGCTCAGTCGTTAAGCGTCTGCCTTCGGCTCAGGTCATGATCCCAGGGTCCTGGGATCGAGTCCCACATCGGGCTCCCTGCTC